CATATGAGCTCTCCGCCCCAGGAAACTTCCTCCCCCAACGAATAGGTAAGCGGCACCATCTTCTCAGGTCAGCGCCGGCGATCCTTCTTCCTCCTCTTCTTCGAGTTGTTCCGTGCCCTGCTCCTCCGGTGGCGGTAAGTAACATCAGACCCTACTTGTTGTTGCCTAGATCTATGAGTATGTGCTAAATTAGAGTACATCTACAAGTAGTATGGTAGGTTATGCAAGTATTTCTTCATGAATGTTGTGTGAGGATGTGGTAGATCAGATGGTAGCGGTGTCGTCTTGGTTTATGATAGGTTTTGCTTGTCGGCAGTGATGATTTCATGGTGTTGTGTTAGATTGATGTTTATGTGCTAGTATTACATGCTTTCCATGTCGTTTTTCATGCTAGTATGGTAGATTTGGCAGTGTGTTGAGCTTCATGATCAATCCATGCTAGTGTGGCAGATTTGGTAGTGTGTTGAGCTTCATAATTAATTCATGTTAGTATGGTAGATTTAGTAGTGTGTTCATCTTAATGATCAATACATGCTAGCATGGTAAATGCATTATTCTTGTTCGGTTAGTTCTGATACTAACGGTTGTAGGCAATGACCAAGGAAGACTATAGTCAGGCCCTTATTTTGTCGGACATCAAACAAACCTTTGGCTCATATGTTGAGAACGACCATCGTTAACTCGGGATGCAAAGGTGTTTTAGAGGCCTCACTTGTGTTCTTTAGTGGTGGCGATGCCTATGGCTGATACCAAGGTGGCCATTAAGGCTGCCAAGGCATCGTTGAGGGGGTCAATGAAAGGGAATGCAATCAAATGAGATCCTTTCATGTCAACCTTTGTCATGTACAAGAAGTTTAATATCATCGTGCGAGAAGTGAGGACTGATAAGGGCTTCCAGGTGGTGCATCTGAACGTTGTTGCCAAGATGGTCTTTGAGTTATGTGACACAAAGTTACCTCAATACAGGTGTACAACCATCTTTTTAAAGTGGAGAGCGAGATGGATCCAGGTGTCAAAGCTTAGAGAGCTTGGAGGTGCACAGTGTGACCAGGACACCTTCACCATTCTATTGGAGGTTGAGCACTACGAAGGCCACATCGCGGTTAGCTGACCTGTAACTTGTTTCACTAGATCTAACATGCCAATCATAAAATAACAACATTGCCTTTCATTCTTAGGATCACCCCAAGGACGTTGAGTACCTCAACAAGCCCATCCAGAACTACTCTTGGGTGCAGACCATCCTCTCCTGGGGTCTAACTATGGGCAAGCATGCCATGGGATCTAGTGAGCCTCTCGATACACCAATCATTGAGTATCCAAACACGCAACAGTCGGAGACCGTCATCCTTGATAACCCTGACAAGCCTCTTATCACATTCCTACTTCTGAGAGGAAGAGGGGCACCTTGAGGGAGAAGGAGCTGAGCATCTTTAGCAGCATGACAAGGCCATCAAGGAGGTGGCATTAGCTATCAGGCACAATTGTATCTAAAGAGTTGAAAATGGTGAGAAAATTAATATGTTATAAAACTACTATGGATTTAGTTAAACACGTCTAGAAAGGTGATCACAAGAAGGGGAACAATTGTTTTAAAACTACTGTGCAGGAGCTCTTTGACCCACACACTGGAGAATGAGATGAGGTATTATTCATCCGAGATAACAGGTAATTTCTTGGAAGTGGAAGCCAACAAGATACTTCAAAATTCCTATGTCATGGAACAGTTCATTGCTCGGCAATACACTTGATTGAATATATTTTTCCGTTCGATCTTATTATCATCTTGAATGGGACTCGCAATATGAAGAAAAAATGGCATTGTGAGAAGAAAGAAAAGAAGAATACGGTGGGCTTTGCCTTGAAGAATAAAACCGTCTGGTTTAGCCAGCTTAGTTTATTAGTCGAGTGACGGGCGCACTTGACTTCACATCCCCATCCGCACAACAGTCAGCAGCGGGGAGGGCGAGACGAGATGACGACCAACCCATGGATATGATGCTTTATTATGAAGGTCACGCAAACAATTCCAAGAAAAATGGCGTTGATCCCAAGAAGGGTACCCATAGAACCATATCAACCTCCAATCAACCTCAACATCAACCATAAAAAACATCAATGAAATTGGATGACAGATAGTTTAACTCCACTTTATTAATATAGTTGAAAAACAAAACAAGCACCCTGCCCTACCGTCACATTCTTGGATGTACAAATCATCAAAACCTAACTTTTTCCCCAAGAAATTAGATTTATCCTTATCCAAGCGAGATTTCGAGAGGAAAATCACATCCGCTCTCACTCGCCCCTTGAGGTCTAGGAGCTCTCAAATTGCCATGGTGGAGTACCATGACCATTCATATCATGGTTTTCATTGCTCTCGGCGGTACCCCTTGAGGGAGCCTTCTGATTCAAAGGTTGAATTTGCACTAGTACTATCTACTACCACTCCAACAGTTCCGTTAAATTTATTTTAGTTTGCGCTTTTCTAGAGGGGTTCCCCCAAGGTATGTCCCCTTCTTCTGTCCCTCGTCAAACTGATCCACCATAGCTGCCACAATAGTGTTTTTATCAACATGAACAGTGGTGCCTTCAGTAGTTGGAAGGGTGTATTGTATTGCTGGGTCACCATTCTCGTTTGAACTAGAATTCTCAGCAGCTCTCTTTCCCAAAATATTTCATCGTGCATTCTAACATCTTGTCTCCCATTACCATCATTTCTAGCATCCAAATTACGTGCATTATTCAAAGCATCATAATTATTATTCCGCTACAGCCCATTAAACCGACAGCTACTAACAGGAATTACGTCAACACCCATAACCATAAGCCCTTGCCCGCGGCCTGTATCTTCAATTCCCGCGCCTCTACCTCTTTCGGTGAATCCACCGAAGTTTCCATCAGAAGCTTGTACACCTTCAGGACCATGACCACCACTTCCTCGACCTCTGCATCTGCCCACATCTCGTAGGATAAAATTACCCCACTCAAGACATGCCTTGTCATGTTCGCCGTCGCCTAGCAGACCGCAGTTGCCACCAAAGATAGGAAGTTTTTCATACTTCACTTGGTACCACACCTTCTCTTCCCCTTTTGTAATGGATACAAACTTTATAATCTTCTCGTTAACATTCATTTTAGCTCGCAAGGATTTGATTTGGACCTCGAGAATTTCTAAACACAGTTGATAATTTGATTTGCACCTCCAGAATTTCTCCCATGGATGTACACATCCCGTAATTATCTGATCATGCAACAATTGTCTATTAGCATATACACATCCCGTAATTATCTCAAGAATCACTCACACTCACAGCCCGCACCAACTGAGCACAGCCGGAGGGCCAGATGACGACGGCCAGCTTTCTCCGCCGCCTCCTCCGCAGATCGCCGCCGGCGCCAGAGCAGAAAGGCAAAGATCCCCTCGTATGCAGGCCCCCCTTCCCCCCGCGCGCCTCCGTGGTATGCACTTGCTTGCGCCACCGCGGCCCTCCCCTCCTCGGTTTCTTCATCGACCACGTCGGCGACAGCATCACCTTCGAGCCAGCTCCGGGCGCGCCCTACCGCCTCCCCCGCGGACTCTTCTCCTTGGAGCTCGACGGCTGCTACATGACCCTAGGATGGCGCCACGGCCTCGGGCTCTTCTTCCACAAGATCCGGTTCGAGGTCCTGCTGTGCGATCCCGTCGCCGGCCACCAGCACCTCCTGGCCGTTC